CTCACTGAGGGATCTAAAAAGCTATTTATTTGAATAGCATTCAATAAGTAGAATGTCTAGGGAGATATCCAGTAGCAAATAAATTTCTCCTTATTAGCTATCATGCTAGTCTTGAGCAACTTAGGCATGACTGTTATACGTGAAAAAAATAACTGGACATTTCCTGATGGTAAAAAATTGCGGCACTTCTGCACTACAGGATTAACATAGAAGATGACACTATTATCGGCTTATCACTCCAACACAAGTTGGTATGCGATTGAGTATGGAACTGGGTGAACAACTTAGCATAAACCCAAAAACAATACGTATTGCATAAAAGGACCCTAGGAGCTCACAATCATTACATTTACTTTGCGCAGCATTTACAAAATAGTGCGCATTCCTTCTAGTTCTATAGCATCAAGTAAGTTAAAGCCAAGTACATGCAATATTTAGGCTGCAATGAAATTTTCCGTACTTTGCTTTGCCATCGCATTGTCGCTCGTGGCTACGATTCCAAGATCGCATCGCATGCAAGACCCGCTCGATCGCGAGATCTCATTGGAACCACTTCTTAACACTAAAACTGCGTTCACTAGGGCTGCCTTGGACTACTATCTCTCCATACTCAACGATTACAAAGGTTTTTGATATTTAAATTATATGTTTAAAATAAAAATCTAAGGGTTTTGTCTTAACAGTTCTCTTTCAGACTATGTGCCCAAAGAGATCAAACTACTCTTCCGCGGAGTGAGTTCAGATCTCCTCTCTATTCTCTATCAACTTCAAGCCGTATATAATTTCAGCTTTCCGACTCCACTAAGAACAAGTTGGTGGCCGGCGTGAATGATATCGAGGCAGGTCGCCTCGTCATTCCAAATGACCCAGAAAGAATCATCGCCCATATCAAGAAGTTTGAGGAATTCTTTATGCAAAGCATATGCTGATTTATTCTCTTTCCGATGATTTGCATTGTTTAAGAACGCCTGAACTTGCTCAAAATGTAGAAGACGCCATTGACATGCTTACGGATGATCTGAGCAAAGTTAGCCAAGGAACTAGAAATGTGTTCCAAAAGGTTGAATGGCAATCCAGAAATGATAGTATACTATTTGCATTACACCCTTTCAGTGGTGGAGGAGGATCTTTACCGCCGTGTCTGCACCTCGCGCTCAGGTGGCCAACCAAATTGCTCGAGTCATTTCCGACTTCAAGACTGCCTATGACAAGGCTAGCCCCGCTATCAAGAACGATATTGCAAAGGCGTGGCCTGAAGCCTATAACCTTTTAGAAAGTAAAAGTTGTTCAGAAAAAGGAGAACTTTTATTGAACTCACTTTGTCAAATTTGCAGCCGATTTC